AGTAAATTATTTATATATACATTTTAATCTAGTAAAATATTTTTTTAATTTTATTTTTAAATAAATACTTTATTTTATAGCCGGTCTATTAGAGTAAATTTACTATTTGAACGAAAGATTAATCTGCAGACAAACCTATGATTTACTAAAACTTGATATATTTTATGTAAAAATTAAATATAATCTAGTAAAATATTATTTAAACTTTATAAAAGCAATTATAAGTTATTTTAATACTTCTACATTTGATATGTATAATATAATTTTATATTATTTAGATGTATCTAAAAGTTAATTTTTTAATCAAAAACATTTCTAATTATTTATTTCATTTTTTTCATTTTTAACGTTTTTATTATTTATGGTATTAAGACTAGAAACTAATGTGTTTACTAAAAAATTTGTAATTTTTTAACTATATTTGTAACAAATAATATTTTTTATTAGTAAACAATAAATAATTCTTTATTAAATTTAAAATAATACTCTTTTGTAATCATTCATTATTTTTATTCATTATATAGATTTTAATATTAGAATTAAATCTAAATATGTTATTGTTCATAATATTTAAAAGACCATCTTGATTTTTCTCTATTATTCATTGATTTTTTAATTAAAATTTAGTTTAACAAATAAAAAGCTTTTTAATAAAAATATAAAAAATTTTATAATACAAGTTTTGTTGAATTGTATTTGTATTGCCAGTATTTTTTGTCAAAGAATTGAATACATATAATTGATGCTACAACTAAATGATAATGTTAAAAAATTTTTTATTAAAAAAATAAATATTTTAAAAAGAAATTTATTTAAAATTATTAATTAATTTAATCTGAAAAGCAAAACTTTTTTAGAAAAAATGTATTTTGGTTTTGCTCGGTTAAAAAATATAAAGGTCACAAACAAAGTGGGTAGGATGTATGCTTGGTTAGGTTGTATGTTTCAAACAAAGAAACAAATCAATAATGCATACAACCTATTACATTTAATTTGTTTTTTATTAAAAATTCTATTTATTTAGTTTTACATAATATTTGTAAATCAGACTTAATTGTATTGTTAATGTAATGTCCATTTGTATTTTGTTTAATAATTGCAAAATTGATATTTATTAAAAGATATTAGGATATTCTTCTTATTTATATATTTTTTATTTATTATAGTGTCGGCATGGTATACAAAATTTGTCATATGGTCGATCCACTGGTGGTTGATTGTAATTACATATTATTTTACCACATACGCAGTAGAGTTTCACCGGAAGTTCCGGTTCCGGTTCCGGAAAGTTCCGGTGTTTTTTTGGTACCGGTTCCGGGAACCGGAACTCAGATTGGTTCCGGTTCCGGCTTACAAATCGGTTCCGGGCAAACCGAAACTTTTTTACACCCCTAAGGATTAGTTTTTTTAAGATATATGGATTGGCCTTGCAATATTTTCCCCGATTGGCCTTCCAAAATTCTCAAAATTTTCGACTGCGGCGCCAGAAAAGGAAGAAATCTAGCTACTTGGTCACACAAATTCTACTTGGTCACACAAATTCTCAAAATTTTCGCCTGCGGCGCTTAAAAAGGAGATTTTGTATCCTTGGTTCACCTAAAATCCAAAAATTTTCGCCTGCGGCGCTATGAAGGGAAGTTGTATGGTAAATCGAAGGATTTGGATGGATAAAGGTGGATTTTGAGTTATATTATGTGAGTTCAAGGGGTTATAGGTAATATAGAGGGATTTGGGTGTGATGTCCAGGGAATGAGCTGTGCAAGTTAGATATCAGGGATTGAATAGATGGGGATTTGGTCTTCCAAAACTTGGATTTTTTTCGTTTCGATTAACAGAAGAATTTGGCAGAATTTAATCGAAAAATTTGGCGAAACCGCACCCCTACTTAAAATAAAAATTTTTTTAAAACATGCTAGCAAAAATTTTTTTAAAAGTTCCGGTTCCGGGAACCGGAACTTAAATTGGATCCGGTTCCGGTCAAAATTTCGGTTCCGGTGAAACACTAATAAATTTTGCTAATATTCAATTTCGTACAACAACTCCCATCTTTTAAAAAGTGTTAACTCCCTTCCTCAACTTCACACTATTTCTTTAAGGCATTAAATCAGTCAATAAAATAAAAAATTTTTTCCTTTTTTCAGTTTTCATATCGTTACAAGCTCATATAATCTCTTTCTCTCTCTCTCCTTCTCTCTCAGTTAATTACACCCTTCCAATTCTCCTTCAACTAACGCCAGAATATCCCTCATAATATCCATTTAAATTTTTTTAGATATTTGTTTATTTAGCTGACTATTAAAATTAAACAAGTTCGAATACACTTAAGGTGATACGGACGATATCATGGGATGTGGAGGGATATTGAGGTATCATCCTTATACCTCCACATGGGTTGTGGAGGGTTACCTCACCAAATCCCACTTAATTTCCAAATAAATTATCAAATTATGACCACCTTTTTTGATTTAAAATATTTTCCAGTGTGGAATGTAGTCATGACGCTATTCAAAATGCACGATGATGGCAAATAACCATTTTTAGATTGATGATAATAAAAATTAATTTTCTTTTTCATTTAAATTTTTGTGTGTTTAATTAGCTGTCTTGAATAAATTTAAGTTTTTTTAAATAAAATTTTATTTATGAAATAAATATTCATTCATAGAAAGATGAAAGGAGAGAAGTTTCAAAGTTAACTAAATTGATTAAATCTAAATTATAATCATAATTTTCTAAATTTTAGTATACTAACAGTTTTGCCAAAAAATTTTATTTAATGAAATATGAAAAATTATATTACATATTTATGCAATATTAATTATTTTAATGCTAATAAAGGCGTGCTTCGTTTTTGTCAAGTTAAAATAAAACTTATTTTTGCCTGAAAAAATTCTATAAACGATATTTTTTTATTAAACCGTTGATTTCGATTTTTAAAAATATCCTCAAAGGCCTGATAATAAGATTTATCAACTTTATTTTAATCAGAAAAAATACCAATTTATTTTAAAAATGCAAAGAAATTTTATTAATAAATGCAAAGTTTGTGGGACAAATTCTCCTTCTCTAATTCTAAATTTTCCTTCAACTAACGCCAGAATATCCCTCATAATATCCATTTAAATTTTTGTATTAATATTTGTTTATTTAGCTGACAAATTAAAATCAAACACGTTCGAATACACCTATGGATATAACGGACGATATAATGGGATATGGAGGGATATTGAGGTATCATCCATACCTTCCACATGGGTTGTGTAGGGTTACCTCACCAAATCCCACTTAATTTCCAAATAAATTAACAAAAATAGAACCGTCTATTTTAATTTAAAATATTTTTCAGTGTGGAATGCAGGCATGACGCTAGTCAAAATGCACGATGATGGCAAATAATCATTTTATAGATTAATGAATAATAAAAATTAATTTTCTTTTTCATTTAAATTTTTGTGTGTTTAATTAGCTATCTTGAATAAATTTAAGTTTTTAAAATAAAATTTTATTTATGAAATAAAAGATTCATTCAAAAGAAGAAAGGAGAGAAGTTTCAAAGTCAACTAAATTGATTAAATTTAATCATCCAAGTTAACTTTCTTCTATTCAATTTTCATTTAGAAAATTTATATGTTTATTCAGCTGATAATTTTATGATCCAAAGCGAATATTAAATACGTTCGAATACACCTAAATTATTCTCATAATTTTTTAAATTTTAGTATTCTAACAGTTTTAACAAAAAATTTTATTTAATGAAATATAAAAAATATAATATTTTATATTAATTATTTTAAAAGCTAAAATAGTAGAGCCGTGTTTTTTTGTAAAGTTAAAATAAAAATTATTTTTGCCTAAAAAAATTATATATACTATATTCTTTAAATAAACCGTTTATTTCAATTTTTATAAAAATATCCTCAAAGGCCTGATACTAAGCATTTATCAACTTTATTTTAATTAGAAAAAATACCAATTTATTTTAAAAATGCAAAGAAATTTTATTAAAAAATGCAAAGTTTGTGGGACAAAAGAAAATGTTTGTTTTATTTATGGAGTTTGTACATGTAAGGCTTGTGGGTCTTTTTTCAGGTATTTTGTATCAATTCAATATTAAAAAATTTGGTAAAATTCCGTCATATCTCCCATAATCCGATTCGGACAAATAATATTTCATTCGAAAAAAATAGGTTTCGGACTAACCTATGGGCATAATGGGAAAGTTCTAGTTCCGGAACTGATGCGGTGCAGTTCCAGTTCTGGAACAGGTTTAGAACCGGTTCTGGAACCGGTTCTAAAGATATTCCCCTAATGATAGGTTAAAAAAGTGAAATGAGCAAAAGATGAGAGTCGTGAGAAGAAAAGTATGAGTAAATTGAGACACTAAAAAGATGTTATTTCTTTTCCCTAAAGAAGAAGATTTTTAGGCGAAAAATTCGAATTTGAAAATTTTGGGTGTTTTGAATAACTTCTTCAAACCTAGCCAATTACACAAAAATATTTTCATAACTTTGTTCGGTATCATCAAATCAAATTGCTTATGGTGTCTTTCGACTTCTCGTCGAGCTCTTACGAATGAAATATTGTTTGCCTAAATCAGAGTACGGGAGATATGACTGAATTTTTTCAAAAATTTCTTTTCAACAGGCGTTATCTTGAAAACGAAAATCAATGGAAATATAATTTATGTAAATGTTCAGAAAAAAATACAAACGCAGAATCCCAACCAAATTTGGTAAAATGTAAAAAATGTAGACTTGAAAAATGTCTTTCTGTTGGAATGAAAAAATTGGGTTTGTCAAAATAAGTGTAAAAAACTGTCTCCTCTTCTATCCGCCAATACCCCTTCAAATTACTGTTAAATTAATGACATAATCAGTGTTAATCCCAAAAATATCCCATTAACCTTGCAAATCTCCAATACTCTCTTAATCACTTCTGATCCTTTTATATACCTTCATGAGGATTCAACTGAGGTATAAACTAGAGATCGGAATTTTGAAAAAAAACCTGGTCCGGGAAACGGGTTCTGAAGGTTGACCGTGGGGACCCTTACCGGGAAAACCGTGAATTCACGTTCTCAGGCTTAATCCTCTGTTATCCCTTGTTATTATTACAAATCTCATTATATCTCTCTCAATCTTTTCAAATTTCTAATCTTCTATATTTCTCTAAATCACTGATATCAAAAGAAAGCTTCCCTAATACTTCAAATCCCTTATTTTTTCGATTAAGGGGATTAACTTATTTTTTCGATCAATTTCAGCAAATCTCTGGTGCCTAGGTTATATCCCTAGATTGCGGACTGCGGATTGCGGCGCGGATTTTAAAATTAAAATTGCGGCTGCAGAAATTTTTTTCATTTGCGGACATCCCCGATTTCAGCAAATCTCTGGTGCCTAAGTTACTTATAATCTCTAAATCCATATACCTTAATCACCTTAATCGCTTAAACAGCCTTATATTTTTCGATATCCCACCGAATCCACCGATATTCTAGGGGTCGTTTTATCAGAAGGGTTCGGTCTATTAGAGACAGTCGCACTATTAGAAGAAATACGGTAATTTAAAAAAAGTATTTTAGAAGTTAGATATTTACGCCATGATATATGCCAGGAAGCGATGGAAAACCAAAAAAAGGAAAATAAAGTAAATTTATTTATTTAATACAGAATTGGAAAACACTGTTACTGTAGACTAGGGTTGAAAAAAATTTTTGAAGATCGAATATTGAAAAAGTTCAAATTATCTAAATCAAAAGAAAAACATCCATCTATCTTTAGCTAATTTCAAAATTTTAGCTAATTTCAAAATTTTTCCAATGAATGCCCAAAGGAACAAAAAACAAAACTTAATAACAAACAAGATTAAAATTCTCTCTATTTTTAAGATACTAAATTCCCCAACTGTCGACTTAACCACCAAAGATCAGAACCTAATAAACTCAATTTTACCAATTATTGAAGCCCAAAAACGTATTATGCATGCATTTAATGATTTGGATGATATATTCCTTCATGGCCCGATTTTGTTTGAAGAAATAATTTTATCCAATTTTAATATTTTTCGTTTAACTGAGATTTTTTCGGTAAATTTTAATTTAATTTTTAATAAATCTCAATCCTATTTAAAGTCAGATCCAATTCCAATACCGTTTGACGAATTGAATAGTTGGGAATCTTCACTACAACGTGAAGGCTTATTTAATAGTAGATTTCAAAAATCCATGTTAGTTGACAGACTTTTGTGTTTTAGTATAGCTAATTCTATGCCTGTTTTTGAAAAATTGACTTTATCTGATAAGGTTTTATATAAATATTTTTGTCTCTAGTTAGCGTAGAAACAAATTTTTATTGTAATCCAGTTGACGGATTACAATAAATCACTTTCCTTCGCCTACAAGTCTGGTTTTAGACCTCGATTGCTGTCAAGTTTTAAAGATTATTTTTAAATAATAGATTGCACATCTAAGGCATATTTGTCAATTGTTTCGTACTTTTACAAACAGCTACCTTGCTTGGGAATTAGGCTCTGAAACTTGGAAACGTAAAGATAATATTATGCCTGCTCTTAGTTTTATGAAGAATCCTGTATTTTTAAATGATGATAAGTAAATATTTTTCTAATATTTAACTAAAAAATTCAAAAAAAATTTTTTTTTGATTTACCATTTTTAGAATAATTAAATGGTCAGATTTTATATTTACAAAATCTGTTGCCCATTTTAAACGTTCTTCATTAACAAAAGTTGAATTTGCTTTGTTAATAGCTATTATCTATTCGAAATCAGGTAAACACTTCAATTTAAACTCGTTCAGCAGAATCGAGAAAAACAAGCCTTAAAAAAAAAAAAAAAAAAAACAAAAATAGCTCAGAAAAATCGGCCCGACTCGAACAAAACTTGATAATATTTTTACAAGATTTATTTAACATTAACACGCATTTTCAAGTAATCAGCAGCCGAAGTCCGGGATATAAAGGTTAATCTGGGGATATAAAGTCATTTGATGCTTTAAGTGCAGCTTTAATGGACATTATGATTGTCTTAGGCATCAAATATTTCGAGGTAGTTTAGGATACAGTGCGATTTTATTAAAGGATTTGGTGATTAATACCCGATATAGCCTTTCAACTTCCCGATATCCCACAAAATCTCTTCAATCCCTCCGATTACAATATATCAACTTAATCCTTTGATCCCCGTTAATATCTCCTAATCTGCCGATATATGTATATTCAAATACTCTTAATCCCTCCAAATCCACTTATATACCTCTTAATCACCCGATATCTCTTCAGCCTTTACTTTCTCTCCAAATCTTCAATGCCTATTCCTTTTAATTAGTATTTAACCAGACCTCAAATTTAAATTTATTTGACAATTTTGAAATTTTTAGCCAAGATGACATTTTGAGAAAAAACGGACATATCCGTTAAAATGTATATAGTTTCACGGATATAAGTGGATAAGTATATCGACCTCATGGATATGTCCGTTACAAATACCAAAATCCGTGTACCTTATCTAGACTGAAATAAACTTTAATTTAAAAAAAGGTGCTGAAGGCATGTCTGTTGAAGGAAAGGAATTACTTTATAACGAATCTGTTAAATACACAAATATTATACTTCGATATAATCAACGAAGATTGGGTTTGATAGAGGGGGCTCAAAGATTGGATGAATGTTTTCGTTTAATTAATCGAAGTATTGAAAATGAATATACTTATCGTTCAATGGTCTTTCATGAAATTAAATATTTTTCAATAAGTACTAATTACTCAAAATGTTCAAACTTTACGACAAAATTTTTGGAAAGAAGTGATTAAAATAAATAATTTGTATAAAAATGTTTTTTACCTCTTTATTTTGTTCAAGAATTCTTCTTTTTTTAATTTAAAATATTTTCGACATTGGATACAGTCGAATCCATGATATTGCCACCTAAGGTTGTATCTGGTCACTGAAAGTTCGGGAATTTGAGTTATCCAAATTTTTCGTCTGAAACGCTAAAATAATGAAGCTTGCTTACTGTACCTATACATCAAAAAATTTTGTCTATAGTGATGAAATTTTTATTTTGGAATTTTTAGCCAAACTTCTACATTCAAGTAAAATTATTTAATGTATAAATAATTTTACTTGAATAAAGTGGTTATTGGTAAGATTTAAATTTTTATAAAAGTTCCAAGTGCAGCTAGCTAGCGAATTTTTTACTAAAAAGTTGGGTAAAATTCGAATAATCTTGATTAGATACGGAAGTGTTGAAGCCAAAGCAAGTGATAAGTTTTTTTTCACTCTGTTTCTCATTTACAAAAAATTTTCTTTCCATGGTTCTTTCAGAAGGTTCAAATGTTTGATTACATATTAACGGTCTGGATTTAATTCTTTAAAAAATAATACTTGGGGTTCACTTCAATAGAGTTTTTCGATCCTCTAGTAGGGTTTACCGTGTGTGCTTCTATTGGACTGTATAATAAAGATATAATAGACTAAATTTGTCAGAAATTATATTTTTTGTTATAATTTTCTAATTATAATAAATTAATCTGATTTTATATTTAAAAATTTATATTTTTAAGAATTTAGTTTAAATAAAAATCATTTAAAAATTTTAAAGTTTATCGACTAAGATAGAGTAATAAATAAATCAAAATATTTTAAATAAAAAATACATAGTTAAAAAGTAGAACAGAAAAAATTTAGTTAAAAAACCAATCAATATGAAAAAATTTTTAAAATATATGTTTTAAATGTGCATAAATAAATGTCAGTAATTTTAAATTCTTTTACCAAATAAAAGGGAATTTAAGAAAAGCGATGTAATCTAAAGATATAAATGTCAGTAATTTTAAATTCTTTTACCAAATAAAAGGGAATTTAAGAAAAGCGATGTAATCTAAAAGAAAAGCGATGTAGATCTAAAGATATTCCCCTAATGATAGGTTAAAAAAGTGAAATGAGCAAAAGATGAGAGTCGTGAGAAGAAAAGTATGAGTAAATTGAGACACTAAAAATACGTGTCCGGACAAAATATCGAATCGTTAAAATATGGAATAGGCTAAAAAAGGGTTAAAATCTCGAATCGGGTAAAAATGGGTTAAAATCGCGAATAGGCTAAAAAGGGGTTAAAATGTGGAATCGTTAAAATATGGAATGGTTAAAATATCGAATCGGGTAAAAAAGGGTTAAAATATGGAATCGTTAAAATATCGAATTGATAAAATGTCGACACGGTCAAAATGGGTCAAAATGTCGAATTTTTTTAAAAATGGCGCCAAAACCTAAAATCCGGGCGTTACCGTAATACCGACGGTATTTTTCGGTATTCCGTGTCGGTAGTACGATATGGAATGACGACCGATAAAATTTAAAAGCTGACCGTTATTTTTCGATATTCCGTACCGTATACGGTAAGGTACAAAATTTAGGTCTTAATTAAAAACTAGTGACGCCACTCTAATTTTTCCGTATCAGGATCCTGTTGTGTTTTCCGGATCCGTACGATCATGCCGGACCGGATCCGGTCGATTATGCTTGATTTATACGGTCCGATTTTACTCGGTAAAATACAGTGAACTCAGGCAGAAAAGATTACGCCGGACTATGACATACGAGACTTATCAATCAAATTATCAAAAATAAGTTGATAAATTTATCAACAATCAATGTATGGCACTCATCTGACCCTTTTTTAAAAGAATTCGACATTTTGACCCATTTTGGCCGTGTCGACATTTTAACCATTCCATATTTTAACGATTCCATATTTTAACCCTTTTTTACCCGATTCGATATTTTAACGATTCCATATTTTAACGATTCGGTATTTTAACCCCTTTTTAGCCTATTCGCGATTTTAACCATTCCATATTTTAACGATTCCATATTTTGTACCGGAGCCTAAAAATATGTTATTTCTTTTCCCTAAAGAAGAAGATTTTTAGGCGAAAAATTCGAATTTGAAAATTTTGGGTGTTTTGAATAACTTCTTCAAACCTAGCCAATTACACAAAAATATTTTCATAACTTTGTTCGGTATCATCAAATCAAATTGCTTATGGTGTCTTTCGACTTCTCGTCAAGCTCTTACGAATGAAATATTGTTTGCCTAAATCAGAGTACGGGAGATATGACTGAATTTTTTCAAAAATTTCTTTTCAACAGGCGTTATCTTGAAAACGAAAATCAATGGAAATATAATTTATGTAAATGTTCAGAAAAAAATACAAACGCAGAATCCCAACCAAATTTGGTAAAATGTAAAAAATGTAGACTTGAAAAATGTCTTTCTGTTGGAATGAAAAAATTGGGTTTGTCAAAATAAGTGTAAAAAACTGTCTCCTCTTCTATCCGCCAATACCCCTTCAAATTACTGTTAAATTAATGACATAATCAGTGTTAATCCCAAAAATATCCCATTAACCTTGCAAATCTCCAATACTCTCTTAATCACTTCTGATCCTTTTATATACCTTCATGAGGATTCAACTGAGGTATAAACTAGAGATCGGAATTTTGAAAAAAAACCTGGTCCGGGAAACGGGTTCTGAAGGTTGACCGTGGGGACCCTTACCGGGAAAACCGTGAATTCACGTTCTCAGGCTTAATCCTCTGTTATCCCTTGTTATTATTACAAATCTCATTATATCTCTCTCAATCTTTTCAAATTTCTAATCTTCTATATTTCTCTAAATCACTGATATCAAAAGAAAGCTTCCCTAATACTTCAAATCCCTTATTTTTTCGATTAAGGGGATTAACTTATTTTTTCGATCAATTTCAGCAAATCTCTGGTGCCTAGGTTATATCCCTAGATTGCGGACTGCGGATTGCGGCGCGGATTTTAAAATTAAAATTGCGGCTGCAGAAATTTTTTTCATTTGCGGACATCCCCGATTTCAGCAAATCTCTGGTGCCTAAGTTACTTATAATCTCTAAATCCATATACCTTAATCACCTTAATCGCTTAAACAGCCTTATATTTTTCGATATCCCACCGAATCCACCGATATTCTAGGGGTCGTTTTATCAGAAGGGTTCGGTCTATTAGAGACAGTCGCACTATTAGAAGAAATACGGTAATTTAAAAAAAGTATTTTAGAAGTTAGATATTTACGCCATGATATATGCCAGGAAGCGATGGAAAACCAAAAAAAGGAAAATAAAGTAAATTTATTTATTTAATACAGAATTGGAAAACACTGTTACTGTAGACTAGGGTTGAAAAAAATTTTTGAAGATCGAATATTGAAAAAGTTCAAATTATCTAAATCAAAAGAAAAACATCCATCTATCTTTAGCTAATTTCAAAATTTTAGCTAATTTCAAAATTTTTCCAATGAATGCCCAAAGGAACAAAAAACAAAACTTAATAACAAACAAGATTAAAATTCTCTCTATTTTTAAGATACTAAATTCCCCAACTGTCGACTTAACCACCAAAGATCAGAACCTAATAAACTCAATTTTACCAATTATTGAAGCCCAAAAACGTATTATGCATGCATTTAATGATTTGGATGATATATTCCTTCATGGCCCGATTATGTTTGAAGAAATAATTTTATCCAATTTTAATATTTTTCGTTTAACTGAGATTTTTTCGGTAAATTTTAATTTAATTTTTAATAAATCTCAATCCTATTTAAAGTCAGATCCAATTCCAATACCGTTTGACGAATTGAATAGTTGGGAATCTTCACTACAACGTGAAGGCTTATTTAATAGTAGATTTCAAAAATGCATGTTAGTTGACAGACTTTTGTGTTTTAGTATAGCTAATTCTATGCCTGTTTTTGAAAAATTGACTTTATCTGATAAGGTTTTATATAAATATTTTTGTCTCTAGTTAGCGTAGAAACAAATTTTTATTGTAATCCAGTTGACGGATTACAATAAATCACTTTCCTTCGCCTACAAGTCTGGTTTTAGACCTCGATTGCTGTCAAGTTTTAAAGATTATTTTTAAATAATAGATTGCACATCTAAGGCATATTTGTCAATTGTTTCGTACTTTTACAAACAGCTACCTTGCTTGGGAATTAGGCTCTGAAACTTGGAAACGTAAAGATAATATTATGCCTGCTCTTAGTTTTATGAAGAATCCTGTATTTTTAAATGATGATAAGTAAATATTTTTCTAATATTTAACTAAAAAATTCAAAAAAAATTTTTTTTTGATTTACCATTTTTAGAATAATTAAATGGTCAGATTTTATATTTACAAAATCTGTTGCCCATTTTAAACGTTCTTCATTAACAAAAGTTGAATTTGCTTTGTTAATAGCTATTATCTATTCGAAATCAGGTAAACACTTCAATTTAAACTCGTTCAGCAGAATCGAGAAAAACAAGCCTTAAAAATGGCTCAGAAAAATCGGCCCGACTCGAACAAAACTTGATAATATTTTTACAAGATTTATTTAACATTAACACGCATTTTCAAGTAATCAGCAGCCGAAGTCCGGGATATAAAGGTTAATCTGGGGATATAAAGTCATTTGATGCTTTAAGTGCAGCTTTAATGGACATTATGATTGTCTTAGGCATCAAATATTTCGAGGTAGTTTAGGATACAGTGCGATTTTATTAAAGGATTTGGTGATTAATACCCGATATAGCCTTTCAACTTCCCGATATCCCACAAAATCTCTTCAATCCCTCCGATTACAATATATCAACTTAATCCTTTGATCCCCGTTAATATCTCCTAATCTGCCGATATATGTATATTCAAATACTCTTAATCCCTCCAAATCCACTTATATACCTCTTAATCACCCGATATCTCTTCAGCCTTTACTTTCTCTCCAAATCTTCAATGCCTATTCCTTTTAATTAGTATTTAACCAGACCTCAAATTTAAATTTATTTGACAATTTTGAAATTTTTAGCCAAGATGACATTTTGAGAAAAAACGGACATATCCGTTAAAATGTATATAGTTTCACGGATATAAGTGGATAAGTATATCGACCTCATGGATATGTCCGTTACAAATACCAAAATCCGTGTACCTTATCTAGACTGAAATAAACTTTAATTTAAAAAAAGGTGCTGAAGGCATGTCTGTTGAAGGAAAGGAATTACTTTATAACGAATCTGTTAAATACACAAATATTATACTTCGATATAATCAACGAAGATTGGGTTTGATAGAGGGGGCTCAAAGATTGGATGAATGTTTTCGTTTAATTAATCGAAGTATTGAAAATGAATATACTTATCGTTCAATGGTCTTTCATGAAATTAAATATTTTTCAATAAGTACTAATTACTCAAAATGTTCAAACTTTACGACAAAATTTTTGGAAAGAAGTGATTAAAATAAATAATTTGTATAAAAATGTTTTTTACCTCTTTATTTTGTTCAAGAATTCTTCTTTTTTTAATTTAAAATATTTTCGACATTGGATACAGTCGAATCCATGATATTGCCACCTAAGGTTGTATCTGGTCACTGAAAGTTCGGGAATTTGAGTTATCCAAATTTTTCGTCTGAAACGCTGAAATAATGAAGCTTGCTTACTGTACCTATACATCAAAAAATTTTGTCTATAGTGATGAAATTTTTATTTTGGAATTTTTAGCCAAACTTCTACATTCAAGTAAAATTATTTAATGTATAAATAATTTTACTTGAATAAAGTGGTTATTGGTAAGATTTAAATTTTTATAAAAGTTCCAAGTGCAGCTAGCTAGCGAATTTTTTACTAAAAAGTTGGGTAAAATTCGAATAATCTTGATTAGATACGGAAGTGTTGAAGCCAAAGCAAGTGATAAGTTTTTTTTCACTCTGTTTCTCATTTACAAAAAATTTTCTTTCCATGGTTCTTTCAGAAGGTTCAAATGTTTGATTACATATTAACGGTCTGGATTTAATTCTTTAAAAAATAATACTTGGGGTTCACTTCAATAGAGTTTTTCGATCCTCTAGTAGGGTTTACCGTGTGTGCTTCTATTGGACTGTATAATAAAGATATAATAGACTAAATTTGTCAGAAATTATATTTTTTGTTATAATTTTCTAATTATAATAAATTAATCTGATTTTATATTTAAAAATTTATATTTTTAAGAATTTAGTTTAAATAAAAATCATTTAAAAATTTTAAAGTTTATCGACTAAGATAGAGTAATAAATAAATCAAAATATTTTAAATAAAAAATACATAGTTAAAAAGTAGAACAGAAAAAATTTAGTTAAAAAACCAATCAATATGAAAAAATTTTTAAAATATATGTTTTAAATGTGCATAAATAAATGTCAGTAATTTTAAATTCTTTTACCAAATAAAAGGGAATTTAAGAAAAGCGATGTAATTTTTTGTGATACCATGTTAAAAATAATAAGAATATTTGTTACTACAAATATAAGGAATTTGTAGTAATTTGTAAGAAAATCATAATACAAACTTAACTATAAACTTTATAAGCAAAAGCCTGAGTTAAATTATATTTGTATCTTAAATGTTTTTAGAGGATATCCTTTTTTTGCATGAAATATCAGAATCAAACTCATTAACTCTTAAAATTTAAATTATAGTTTAATCAGTATTATGATTTATAGGAGGAAAAGTGGACAGAAGTTTGTTTAAAATTTTCATAAAAAATAAATTCCCGAAATAACAAAAATAAAAATAATTCCAATAATATTGCATATATACCACCCCAAGGCGATATAAGGTCCACAATTTTTCAAAGCTTTATAAACAGATTTACCAAATTCACTCATTTTATTGCCAAAATCTTTCTTTTTAGCAATACATTTATTTTTGATGGAAAAGCATTTGTTTTTTATCATTTGAATAAAAGTTTCATTCCCAATCTCTGAAGAAACGTATGGGCAAATTCCGTCAATGTTTGATTCTTCGTCATTGTTTGAATCTCCATTGCTCAATTCTCCATGAATTAATTCTCTATTTTTTAATTCTCCTTAATTTTAAATTAATATCTGAATGAGGAACATCACTGGTCACTTATAGGAGATAAGTGGCCCATGACTTAAATTTCCACGACTCGAGATAAATGATCCGAAAAAGTTAGCACATCCGGGGATTTACGGGGATTTACAAGGCCCAGACCTAATTCATCATTTATGGTCCAGACCTGATTCATCTGCTACCGGACCCCTAAACAGTTCCTGTGATTCCTTCAATTCCTGGATATCATTTTTAAACCCAAGGGGTACACTAAAGTGATGTACTATCGTAGTTAGTATTATTTTTTAAAATAACGGCGGCGCAAATGTCGTGATACCGGTGGCTGAATTTGGAAAACCCCCAGATATCCAGATAAGATATCCGAGCCGAAAATTTCGCTCCTTTTTCATTCAATCTTTATTATTACTCACGACCAAGTTTCTAGAATGTTTTTAAGTATATTTCAACACTAAACCTAATCGAAATGAAAATCATAAATATAATTTTACCCAATATAAAAATAGAAACTAAATATAAATGCATTAATATTAAAAACGGCAGCTTTTACAGTTAAAAAACTTATTAAAGTTTTTACAGTTATGCAATCTTTATCGGATTTTTATTTAAAATTATAAACTTTTTAAATAAATTAATTAATTTTGATGAATACCCCAAGTTTGATAACACGAGGATTTCATTCGCCTTGGTCTCTTGATAATTTCAATGAAGGTTTTTAGAGGAGACTTTCCCTTGGCAGGTTGAAATGGGAGGACTTATAAAGTTGGAACTTCCTGAAACTTTACTTTTTGATGAAGAATTGTTTGGAAATATTTACGATGATCCCGTGGCGGAAGGAATTGAGAAGAAAAAAATATAAAAATGTAAAAAATGTGAGAAACATTATTACATCTAATATTTGTGTTATTTGTTAAAGGGAGGAAGAGCAAGTGAACTAAATAGT